ACAGGGAGTGCCTGGGTGGCTCAGTGGGTTAAGCCTCTGCCTTCGGCTCAGGTCATGATCTCGGGGTCCTGGGATTGAGCCCCACATTAGGCTCTCTCCTCAGCAGGGAACCTGCTTCCCCCTCTCTGCCTGCCTCTCTGCCTACTTGTGATCTCTCTCTCTCTGTCAAATAAATAAATAAAATCTTTAAAAAAAAAGAGAGAGAGAGAGAACACAAACAGGGGTAGTAGGACAGGGAGAAACAGGCTTCCTGCTGAGCAGGGAGCCCAATGCAGGCCCCCAGCCAAAGGCATACCCGATCTGAAGGCAGACGCTTAATGACTGAGCCACCCAGGTGCCCCAGCATTTCTGTTTCAATGACAATAAAAACAAAACAAAACAAAAAACACTAGTCTATCATTTTTATTCTTTTTTGTTGAATTCGTAATTAAAAAAAAAAATTATTTATTTATTTGACAGAGACCGAGAGATCACAAGTAGGCAGAGGGAGAGGAGGAAGCAAGGCTCCCTGCTGAGCAGAGAGCCCAATGCAGGACTTGATCACGGGACTCTGGGATCATGACCTGAGCTGAAGGCAGAGGCTTTAACCCACTGAGTCACCCAGGCGCCCCTATAATTTTTTCTTTTATGTTTTATCCTTACTTACCTGTTTTGTTGATATGTTCTGTGGTTTAGTCATGTTTGCATTCCCACTGTCACTTTGAAACCTGCTGTGAGCCTTCTTTGCGGGATGCTTCTGTCCTGTGGTCTGTTTGTCTCAGAGCAGTTCAGTTTCAGACGATCTGGGGTAAAACTCAGGATGTACTGTAACTGAAGTTTTGCCACAATATTTTTTGAAAGGTGAAGAACAACTCTACTGTTCGCATAGGTTAGTGTGGATTCATGGGTGAATTTATGAAAACATGTTACCATGTGATGTAGTGAGTAGTAAATGTTGAGGAAGAATTGTTGTTTTGTTCTTGGTATTAGAAGTTGTAATTTCCAGGGGCGCCTGGGTGGCTCAGTGGGTTAAGCCGCTGCCTTCGGCTCGGGTCATGATCTCAGAGTCCTGGGATCGAGCCCCGCATCGGGCTCTCTGCT